CTGACAAGCAGAGCGTTTGCTACACGCGCTTGCGGTAAACACAAGTCATCTTGGCGCGAGCATAATTTCGGCTGCAGACGGGCATGTCAAACAAATACGGCTCATCACCTGACATGCTAGCACAGTGGCCGAGAAATACATTCCTCTGATTTCTTCCCTTGAAGAGCGAGGTTTCACGGTCATGGACCAGCAATCCACCCGTGCACGACGGGATAGCACAGGCAATTGTCACGGTATACCTCTATCGACAGGTTTGCGCTGCTCGAAGAGAATCGATCCGCCTCTGCGTGTCAAGCATGCTGCGATGCGCCAGCACAATGGCTCGCGGTTGTCACGACCAAGTTTACTGCTTACTTTTGAACAGACCGTTCGAATTTACCGGCAAAATAAAATCTGAGAAAAAAAAGGCGCTGTCTCTTGTAGAGCCGTTCGCGTGTCAACCGGCTTGTCACGCGGAACCCTTTCCATGTGCACTCTAGTCTTCAAAACCGTCATTGTTTGCTACAACCGGCACCAAAATAAAACACTCGACGAGAAGTGCAACCGGATTTTCTTTCCTCGCTGATTATCCCAAGCCCGTTTGTTTGACAGTGGTTTCGCTAGATAGTAGGTAGGGATGGCGGGAATTTGGTAAACCCGTTCATACGTGTCACCGATTAGATGACGGGACATTTGGATCCCTTACTGAGTGGATGGTCTTGGCTTAGGAAAGCTATAAGTAAGTTGTAGCACTTTACGCACTTGCATTACTTACAAGTAAATTTGAAGAACTTAGCAATCGACGATTTTTGAAATTAAATGCAAAATTCCCTAAGTTTATATTTCGGACTGATGACTTAGGACTTAGGCCACCATAGTGACATAGGATTTTGTGCACCAAGTCCTAAGTCACTGGTGTTCTTACCAGGTGATTTGTGCGCACCATGTCCTAAGTCACCGGGGTTGTGATTGGATTCAAGCACTTTTTAGGGTGAAAAAACATCTTCTCTTAGTAAGTCTTCAGAATCTACATACTTACATTACATTACAGTACAGTACATTACATCACTACAATACAGTAAAGTACAGTACATTACATTACACTACAGTACATTACATTACATTACAGCACATTACAGTACATTACGTTACATACATGCACAGGACTTGGTACACAAAATCGTATGTCACTAGAGGGGCACAAGTCCTAAGTCATCAGAACCCACATACTTACAGAACATTACAGTACAGTACAGTACATTACACTACGGTACATTACGTTACCTTACAGTAAAATACAGTACATTACATCACACTACAGTACATTACATTACAGTAAAGTGCAGTACATTACATTACACAACAGTACATTACATTACAGTACAGAACCTTACAGTACATACATGCATAGGACTTGGTGCACAAATTCGTATGTCACTAGAGGGGCACAAGTCCTAAGTCATCAGAACCTACATACTTACAGTACATTACAATACAGTACAGTACATTACACTACACTGCATTACATTACATTACAGTACAGTACATTACACTACATACATGCAAAGGACTTGGAAATCGTATGTCACCAGAGGGGCACAAGTCCTAAGTCATCAGAACGTACATACATATATTACACTACATTACAATACAGCACATTACATCACAATACATAGTACGTTGAAAAAACATATATTTTTCAATATTTTTCAATTTATTTAATTGCTTTCAAAAAAATGCC